TCCAAAAACAAAGCCATAACAAAACTTTAGAGAGGCAAGTAGGGCAGTACTTTGATTTGAATTCAGGGCCTATCAATTGAACCATGCTCCTAACCCTTTTTTGCTTTAGTTGTTTTTTCCATAAGGTCTCATGTTTTTAACTGTGGTGGTGCTAAGACCAAAAGCAATCCTCCCACCTATACTTACCTGCATGAACAGGATTATAGGAGTAAGGCTCAGGCCTAATTTATTTGTTAAGATGAAAGCCCTTAACCTTTTGCTCTAGCTGGCCTCAAACTGGAAACCTCCTGACCTGTCTCCTTAGCAGCTAGGATTACTGGTAAAACAGCTTAAGATAGGAAAATACATAATTTTGAACCCTAGTTGACCACAAGATGGCAATAAGAGCTCTTATCTCATCCAGAGCCAAATATAATCTGAATTTGTAGGTAAAATATACATTGGGCTTGCAGTTCAATAATGTAAGTGATTTTCATACTGTTCCCTAAATCTTTTTTTTTTTTTTTGTTTCGTTTGCTGGGGGGCTTGAACTCTGGGCCTGGGCGCTGTCCCTCAGCTCTTCAGCTCAAGGTAAGCGCTCTACCACTTGAGCTACAGCGCCACTTCCGTTTTTTCTGGTGGTTATTGGAGATAGGAGTCTCACGGTCTCTCCAGCCAGGGCTGGCTTTGAACCTTGATCCTCAGATCTCAGCCTCCTGAGTAGCTAGGATTATAGGCGTGAGCCAGCAGCGCCAGGCTTGTTCCCGAAATCTTTCTTCACCTAAATCACTAACCATAAAGTTTTTCTTTTTGTATATATGATTATTTAAGCTTCTCAGCTACAAAATCACAATTACATTTTTACCATGTTTCATTTCAAAACCATGCAGACATTAAAAAAAACCATAACTGGGTATGGTAATCCCTCTGTGCTACACCTTAATAACAATAAGATATTAAATAAAAAATGCAAAACTGGAGAATGAAGTTGCAATCCTCAATTGCATAAAAATATGTGCGTGCGGGTATGTGTGTGTGTCTGTGTCTGTGTGTGTGTATAAAATTAAGGAAATTGAAGGAATGGGTTGGATTTCATTGTATTGAGCCAGGCACCAGTGGCTCATGCCTGTAATCCTAGTTACTAAAGAGGCTAAGATCTGAGGATTACAGTTCCAACCAAGCCTAGGCAGAAAAGTCCCCATGAGACAGACTCCTATCTCAATTGACCACACAAAAACCAAAAGTGAGCCAGGCACTGGTGGCTCACACCTGTTATCCTAGCTACTCAAGAGGCTGAGGATCAAGGCTCAAAGCCAGTGCAGGCAAGAAAGTCTGTGAGACTCCAAGTAACCACCAGAAAACCAGAAGTGTTTCTGTGGCTCAAAGTAATACAGCACTAGCCTTGGGCAAAAAAGCTCAGGGACAATGCCCAGGCCCTTAGTATGGCCCCACAAACAACAACTAAAAAGAAAAGAATTTACTTATAGGGAAGATTGCTCTCAGACTGGTGAATTATGTGGTCAAGCCTAGTGTAGCTACATGAGACCCACTTTCAAACAAAACAGTACGTTAACAAGAAAGACACCCTGAAGAAAAAAAGCAGGTTTTAAACCACTAATCCTATCCCCTATAGTTCTAGCTACTCAGGAGGCTGAAACCTGAAGATTATGGCTCAAAGTGATTCTAGGCAGGAAAAGTTCATGAGATTCTTATCCCCAATTAATGACCAAAAAGCCAGAAGTGGAGCTTGGCTCAAGTGGTAAAACGCTAGCCTTCAGCAAGTACTAAGGGACAGTGCTCAGACCCCAAATTCAAGCCCTAGGGTCTATAGCTGCCTGCTAGTAACTGCTCACTACATATAGCCACTAAAACTTCAAACTCCTCAGTCACACCATATTTTAATTGCTCAAAGCAACATGATCTCATACAGTACAAATATAATACCTTCACAGAAAGATCTATAGAAAATCAGTTCCATTTTAAAAAAAAAAAGCTAACAAAAGAATTTCTTTAAAACATGTGCTATCTGTCAAACATAACTTTTTTTTTGGGGGGGGGGTCCGGTCCTGGGGCCTGAACTCTGGGCCTGGGCGCTGTCCCTCAGCTCTTCAGCTCAAGGCGAGTGCTCTACCACTTGAGCCACAGCGCCACTTCTGGCTTTTTTCTTTTTTTGCTTATGTGGTACTGAGGAATCGAACCCAGGACCTCGAGCATGCAAGGCAAGCACTCTACCACTGAGCCACCTTCCCAGCCCCAAGTCTGAGATTCTTATCTCCAATTAACCACCCAAAGCCAAAAGCTTAGTGGGGGATTGGTGGGGGAGGGAATAAAGGACATTGTATAATGCAAAGACCCTAAGGTAGTATACCTTGATCAAAGTACCTGACTATAAAGTTAATTGTTAAACCCTTCCTATTGAGAATGTCCAAATTAAAGCCCATTTGATTTTTAAGGGATCCACAGATCCCTTTATAGGGCCACTTCTGGGCTGATACACAGGGTGCAGAACATCCAGGTCTTCCTCAGTAGTTTTCACCTTCAACCTGAAACAAAAGAAAATAAATGTTAAACTGACCCCTTGGCACAGTTTTCCAAAAGACATTGTACCAAAACTCCAAGCTTTATTTTCTACGATTTCAGTTGTTTTAGCTAATAATAGTCATTTTCTATATCTATCTCTTTTTTATTTTTTATTCATTTATTTTATTTTATTTATTTTATTCAGGCCTGAACTCTAGGCCTGAGCTGTCCCTCAGCTCTTCAGCTCGAGGCTAGCGCTCTACCACTTGAGACATAGCATCACTTCCGGCTTTTTTTTCCTCCTTTGTGGTACTGAGCTAACGAACCCAGGGCCTCATGCATGTGAGGCAATCACTTCACCATTGAGCCAATTTCCCAGCCCTACATCTATCTCTTTTTTTCTAGATTTACTTTTTTGTATTGTTTTAATTGTAAAGAAGGATTTCAGTTCAACAAGTCAATTCTCAATCAGTGTCATCCTTTTATTACCTATCTATCTCAATTCCCCCCATCCCTTCAAGTTACTAAGTTCTATCTACTGTCTTAAATACAGGAGGAAGACTCCAAGCATGAGATAAAAATGGGTGAAGTCAGAAACTTAGACCAGTGGCATAGTTCATCCCACTATTTAGTTAGTCCTAGTTCCATGGATACTTAAAACAAAAATGATATAGTGCATGTGGACTTTGAGTCAAGACAGAAAGAAAAAAATAACTAGAAGTCAGGATGCATGAGGTAGTAAAAGCTTCCCTATTAGCTTGCTATTTTATCTGTTTCATAACACTTTGCCAGTTTGTAGATTCATTTGATTGGCTGGTTTGGAGCTTCAGTCCTCAGATCTCAGCTTCCTGAATAATTAGGATTACAGGTGTATGCCACTAGTACCCAGCTCTAACACACTGTGCCAATGAAGGGAGGAAATGGGTGTGTCTCCTCTCTTTAGATAGATACTAATGTATTTATAATCCCAGCCATTCAGGATAGTAAGATCAAGAGTTCTACCCTGGGCAACTGAGCAACATCCAGTTTCTAATTACATTTTTTTTCATGCCTGTCCCTGTCTCTGAGTTTTTTGCTCAAGGCTAATACTCTACCACTTGAACCACAGCTCCACTTTTGCCTTTTTTTGGTTATTATTTGGAGATTTGTCTAATGGTTGTTCTAGCCTGGGCCTACTTTGAACTGAGATCCTCAGATCTCAGTCTCCTGAGTATCTAGGATTACAGGTGTGAGCCACTAGTACCTAGCTTACTTTATTTGCAATTTTTAAAGAACTGGAGGTGTAGCTTACTTATAGTGAGCTTGTCTGGCATAAAGGAAGCCAAAGAGTAAATCACTAGTAACAGAGGAATGAAAGGAGGGAGGGACCGAGGGAGGTGTGGCCCAAGTAGTAGAATATGAACCTTGAGCCAAAACACCATGGTGAATTTTTCAAGTCAGACAGTTGAATGTAAATCCTGACTCTTCATTTGAATCTATTACTTATATAAAATCAACTAAGTAACCTGGAAATCCAGATGCTCTGCATTAAAAGATCCATTTTCACTGTGGCGCCAATGGCTCACACCTATAATATAGGTACTGTGGGTAGCTGTAATTTAGGTACTGTGGCTAGGTACTATGGCCACAGTACTGTCCGCATGAGATTCTTATCTCCAATTAACCACTCAAAAACTGGAAATGGAACTGTGGCTCAAGGCTCTCACTTTGAGCAAAAGAGCTCAGAGACAGCACACAGGCCCTGAATTCAAGCCCATGACTGATCAAAAACAAAAAGACACAAGCTTGCTTTCCTGTTCCTGATATTCCCTACTCAACAAGGAGAAAGCCAGTGTCTTCTACATAGTTACCTTTTTTGTTTGTTTGTTTGTTTGTTTTTTGGTACGGTCTTGGGGCCTGAACTCTGGGCCTGGGCTCTTCAGCTCAAGGCGAGTGCTCTACCACTTGAGCCAAAGCGCCACTTCCGGCTTTTTTCTTTTTGCTTATGTGGTGCTGAGGCATCAAACCCAGGGCCTCAGGCATGCAAGGCGAGCACTCTACCACTGAGCCACCTTCCCAGCCCCATAGTTACCTTTGACAACAAAATCTTGCTTCTGTTGGGAAGAATTACTTTTTTTCCACAGTTGGCTAAACTGAAAAATGAGGTTGACAAGCCTTGGAGTGTGTAATCCTTTTAAGACCTAGGGAGCTTTGGGGAAATTCCCAAATGTTTTTTGTTTTATACTGCATTCTTCTATCCCAAAATCAAAATAAAAGAAATTTTCCTAACTTAATACTCTCAAAAATCCTTCTAGCCACTATTAATAAACATGGAAAGCATACCCCTCCAGCCCTTAGAATGCAATGGGCACCAGGTTCTGAGTCACTCTTTCCCAACATTAAATGTGCTTAAAACAAGATAAACTGGGGCTGGGAAGGAATCTCAGTGGTAGAGCGCTTGCCTTGCATGCTAAGGCCCTGGGTTCGATTCCTCAGCACAAAGAAAAAAGCCGGAAGTGGCGCTGTGGCTCAAGTGGTAGAGCGCTAGCCTTGAGCTGAAGAGCTGAGGGACAGCGCCCAGGCCCAGAGTTCAGGCCC